GAAATTTGTGAGCCATTGGCCGAGTTTCCTCTCTCAAAAGTCTCCAACCTCTCACCTTCAAAAACCTTAGGCTAGTTGTCTTCTTTCCTACTTTTTGAAGTGAGAATCCATTGATGCTTGAGCTTGGATGCTTCCCTCCTAAACTTTGGAAGAGTGTATCCGTGAGTTCATAGTCTTCAAGTGTTCTTAGTTGTGGAATCAAGTCTCTTTTGAAGAAGATCCGGCCTAAGCAATTCCGTGGAGAAGAATCACCTTCACTTCTCCTAGTTTTGCTATCATCTTGCCCATCCACCTAGGGGCAGTCTTTCATTCTACAACCATCCATCAACAATCAAACAATCAATCTTCAAAAGGACTCAGCATTGCGCCTGGAGAGGCATCACAATACTCATAGGTCACCCATTTACTCCTTTGCCCACCATCACAAGGGCACCACCTACTAGCAATCCTCGTCTTCATCAGACGTCCTCCCAAAGAAAAGGGGCAATCACATCATCAGCATTAGCAGGCAGCTTGGAGAGGCCAAGCATAATAATACTCAGCATTTATTCCTTTGCCCACCATCACAAGGGCACCACCTACCAGAAATCCTCATCTTCATCAGACGTCCTCCCAAAGAAAAGGGGCAATGACATCATCAGCATCAGCAGGAAGCCTGGAGAGGCCAAGCATAATAATACTCAACATTCAGCAGGCAGCCTAGAGAGGCCAGCCATAATAATACTCACCGTTCAATAGGCAGCTTGGAGAGGTCAGCCATAATAATACTCCCTCTTAAACAAGCTACAAATAAAGGGAAACATTATCACAAGAGAAACAATGGAGCATCTACTCGAAGACTAAAGATCAGGTGTACAGTTTGTTAACCTTGTTACCCAATAGTGTACGCAACCAATGCTCAACTGCTCTAAAGGGTAAAGATACGAGCAAATACACCTATCCAAGGGAAACAACGCAGAAGCACCAAAGAGATAAAGAGAAGACCCGGATGAAATGTCTACATCTTTACTTGCCTTTAGAAAAGCAACATAGATTATTCCTTCATCATCACCTACAAATGGAAACAACTAGAAAGCTATAGTAAGCTTTAGAAATATCTAGAGACATTAATTGAAGAAATATCTAGAGCATCTAGCAAGCTTTAGAAATATCTATAGACATTAATTGTGAAGAAATATCTAGAGCTTCTATCAAGCTTCCATTGGGAGACTATATATAGGATGGAGATCATGCTTATGAGTGTAGTGGACAAGAAACACAATAAGTAGTGAGTGAGAGTGAGTGTATTTGTGAGAAGTGAGGAATATATATTGAGTGTGTGTGTGTCACCAAAATAAAATATAGTATTGTGAAGAGTGTGTAAGAAAGTAAGTGTGTTGTATTAGTATAAAATCACTAGAGGTGCTGGGCACCAATATTTTTGTATTTGCTCTTGTATATTATTAAAAATTAGTCTCCTATTTTTCAACAAAGTTGTGCACTTTCTTTGTTGATTATGTGAGTAAGACAAATTCAACGATACTTTTCGAGTTCTTAACTTGATCACATTGCATTTATAAGTAATTTTTTTGAAATGAAATTGTGAATAATGTGACTAACCATGAGAAGGAATTTTTTCTCCATCTTTAAGAATTTTTTCCCATTATTTATGGATTGTTTCTCTTTGTTTTGTAAAGCTTTAAAATTACTTTTTAAAATCCTATATTTAGAATTGTTTAAAATTAATGACTAGAATAACTTTCATTGCAGTAAATTTCGAGACCTTAGGCGGAAAAGACAATCGTTAGAATAACTTTCACACTGTCAAAATTGTTGGGAGAAAAGATGGAAATTGACCACACTTCAATTGCATACATGCGACAGAAGCACTCAATTCAATTGGCTTCTCTGTTGAAGAAAAATAACTACTCAAACCAATTACTTATTAGTTTTTAGAAGTGTATTTAAGATAGTATTTTATAGAAATAAATTTATATAATAATATTTTGTGAGTCTAATTGAATATTTGCTCAAACTTCAAACATTGCCCAAACTTTTAAAAATTAAATTTTCTTCCAAAAATATAATTAAAAAACATGTTAAGATTTGAATACAAATTTAAAAGAAATTTTTTTAAAAAATTATTAATAAAAATTCCTTCTTTTCAGAAAAGAAACTTGTAAAAGCTCATACAATGTTTAAAGTCTGAACACATTGAATTAGACTAAAAAAGAATACTATATAAATTTATTTATATGAAATACTACCTTAAATACACTTCTGCTAAAAACTAACAACTCATTCTTCCAAGTGATATTGGCTTCGAATTTCTTACACAAGTTATTAGGTTTGTCTTTTGTACGTAGAAAGAATGTGATTGCAAGAGGAGACCTTATTAAAAATGGTCAGTTATATTCTCCTACAATGATTAATTATTGATAAATTAATATTTTAAAAAAATTGTCATATAATAATACATATACTATAGTGATACATATGTATTATTAAAAATTATTTTTACTTACATAATAAATATAATATATATTGATATATTGTTAAAAATGTGGATATAAAATACAATGAAACAAAATATATTAAATCACATTCAAAATCAATTTTAAAATTATGTGTATTATATGTCAAATAAATATATACTTATATATATTGTACATATAATAATATCTTTTATATGTTATTATATGTAACATTTTTTATAATGTAGTAGATACTTTATAACTAATACATGATTAAAAAATACTCTTTTCAAAACACATCAAGAAGACTGTTCTAAAATTTATTTAAATACTTTATCAAAACTTTAATTATGAAACAGTTTATAAATCACTTCAATAACTTTAATTATAAAATAATACCACTCCATCCATTTTATTTAAATTGCCGCACAAAAAGCATTTTACGCACATGTCACTTATTTAAAAAAATATAACAAGTAATTGAAGTTATATATATATATATATATATAACGGTTAATAGTAATTGTTTATATTTTCGAAATCGGACCAATTACTAAATTATTTAAAGCACTGATTTAAAGTTCACCGATTAAATTTTGGTTAAATTCTAATCAATTCAATAATAATAATAATTATTATTATTAACACAAAAATAACATTAAATAAATATAATATTATAATATTATAATACTAAAATTTTAAATAAAATGTTATTTGTAAATTTGTTAACATTTAATATGATATAATATTTAAGTTCTAAGTAAAATATAATATAATATTTAAGTCTAAAAGTTAACAAAAGATATCAATATCTATTAATAACAATAACAAGTTTACATTTAGAATCAAGTGTATCAAATTAATAATATAATATAAATTGTAAAAAATAAAAATATTAAAATTAATAATTAATACAAATAATTAAATTATATTTATAAGATAAATATTAAAAATAGGTTATTCAAATTTATAAATTTTTTATTAAATATTTTTTAAATATTTTTTTAGAAAAGTTAATTGAACCAATCCGACTGATTTTGACCAATTCAACCGATTTTTAATTGATTCATTGTCAAAGGGGTCTAACGAACTAATTTGATCAATTTTCAAAAACACGATAACTGTGAGTGATTTTGACTTGTTAACTAGAAGTGTAATAAAAATTACGTAAAAAAAGACCTTGCAAAAATTCATGAAATTGATTTTACTGTAATGACAATTTAATTCCAAAAGCACAGTCACTTACTAAACCAGCCTTGAATTCAACAGTTCATTCAGCTCATTTTTCTCCAAAAGTGGGATTGGTGGCTCTGGTAGTGCATGTCATGGAAACAGGAAGGGCTTCCCATATATCAAATAATTCACTTCGGTAAATTGAATAAAAGAGTTAGACCATCACATTTAATTCAAGCAAAAAGAAAAGGATCATTATTAGAAACTTATATCAAAATTTATACTGTACATTATTTTTCTTGAAATCGTGATAATTGATACGGATCATAATTTACAATTCATTACAATCCAAGACCAAATATGCTTATACTATCGCTTTAAACAATATTCTCGAGTAACATTGACTTTACCCTGGAAAGATAATAGAAAAAGAAAATCAAATATCAATAATATAAGATACAAAAACAGAGTATTTATAAATGACTATAAAGTTTATAATAATCTTTGTACTTTACTGTATCAAATCTTACCTCTAATGGATTAGTATTTCTTGGATGGAATTGTAGTTGAAAAGAGGTTTCTACGTTTTCCATGAACAAGTTCAATGAATGATGTGTAGCTAATCACTTGTTAAAAGCTTGCATTTACTAGATGAAGAATTTCCACTAAACATCATGTTTAGGTTTAATTGTTCAAGATCCTCCTTAAATACGCAACGATACCCGCAATTTTTCACCTCAAAATGCAAATCTTTAGGCTGATTAAATATGGCCATTGTGAATCCCATTTGATGAAGATCACTAATTTCATCTTCATATGGACTTCGACAATCAATGAGTCTTTCCCGAGAAAGAAACAATATGTACAAGTGATCTATTTCACCCGTGATCAGACCAATGTTTAAAGCTGTTGGAACTACCCAAAATGATTTCTGAAAAACCTGATTATTTTGAAAACTATATCCAATAGTTACAGAATCGTCAGGTTGCCATCTATCATTCAAATTAGTAGAATCATCATGATGTGCCACTAGCATAGCACAAAAGGCAACAGCTATCCAATTTGGGTCTTCCATAACATGAGATAGGTCCATGCTTATTGAACTACCCACATTTTGTTCACTGAACCACCTTGGAATTTGAGTTCCAGGAATGATAATCTCAATCTTACCCATGGAAAGAGAGGATTGTAATATAGCCTAATACCAAACAAAATTGTAAATATGTATAATTAGTGTAGACATGGAAAAAAGATAAAGAAAGGAAGGATGGAGTATTTACCTTAAAGATTTGTGTCATCCAACAAAAAACAATACGATGACAATGTTCCATTTCATTCAAATTGTGGCAACTAAAAATATATAATTCCCCAAAAAAATCTCCAGATTTTGTTTCTTTTAATTTTGGAAGTTCGGGCAAATATTTCAACTGTTTGCAGTGCTCCAAGTTTAAACGATAAAGATTGGAAAGTTCCTTGATGGTAGTAGGTAGTCTCACGAATTTGTTTCCCCCCAAATTTAAGATTTGTAAAGAATGTAAGTTCCCAATAGCATCAGGGATGTGAAGTAGCTCGCAGAGGCTCAGATTAAGACAAAGCAAACATGAGAAACGAGGCAAATAAGGCACCAACGAACCAAGTGAATCTTCATGTTTGCGATTGGAAAGGAAATTGAAAGGCAACATTAGAATTTCATATACAGAGGATGTTGATAATTGGATAGCATTTTTGTTTGTGTCAACCTTTTCCAAATGTTCTGTCTCCTTTGGTTTCTTCAACAGTCTAGTATTAAGTAATTTTGAACAGCCTGCGAGATCTAGCACTTCAAGAGAATTGAGCCCAAAAATGATATTCAGATCAATTAAAAGCTTTTTACAATTTCTCAAACTCAAAAAAACAAGTTCTCTTAGAATACCAATGGATGGATCCATCCACACAATTTCTATACATCCGCAAAGATTGAGATACCTAAGACGTGGGACTCCTCTTAAGTCTGGCATCTTAGTAAGATTTTTGGAGTATCTGAGATCTAGCCTTATCAAATTAGGCAGATACTGCAAAAGAGACACAAGTAATAAAAATTACTATATATATATATATATATATATTAGTTTTCCTTTGCCTACAAGAAAATATGACAATCTCTACCTTATTTTGGTCAGGAGACAAAATTAATGGCATTTAACCTTTCTTGTGTTTCTTTAATTATATTTAAGAAAATTAAAAAAGAAATTGATTATAATATATCTTTATATCTATTCATTTAAAGACAAAGAAAGTTGAAAAAAAAATAATATGGTACCTTTGTTCCTTCCCATAGCTGTTTGATATTGCTACAAGGCAACAACAATTCTACTATTTTCTCAGGATAAAAACTTGATGGCAAACATCTGGAAGGATATTCATCCCAATATAGATATCTTAATTCATTTGAAAGATAATCGAGACTCCCTGAAAAATTCCCATTTTGAAGTATGACCAACTTAAGATGATTCATTTTTGATAGAGCATTCGCTGGCAATGTTGTTTCTTGAAACTCTGGTGGATGTTGTTCAATAACTATGGCTTCAAGGTTTTTGGCTACCTAAAGCATTGTAAAAAGAAACAAAAAAATGTGAGATTTTTTTATAATAATTCAAACAACATAACATGTTGCATTCTAAAACCATTTTACCTTGTTTTTTATCATGATGTTATGAAGATCCTTGCCATCCCAAAGTCTGGTCCACTTTATTGGTTCTTTTGGTGATTTTTCTCGAACGATAGTCCTACCCAACTCTTTTAGCAAGTCATGCATTTGAATTATTCTATTCTTACAGCTAATGAGTGATTTTTCAATGAGAACTTTCATACCAATGTCAGGATAAAATCCACGATAGTCTAGAAGTTTCTTCACATCTTCCATCCAATACCAAGGAGAGAGTTTTCCTTTTCTGTTTTCACTAGAAAAGAAACAAGCAATATCTAGAAATATTTCTTTTTCCATTTCCTTCAATCCATCAAAACTTATTCGCAACACATCCATGATATCACTATTTGGATTTTCTTTTAGTCTAGCCAATGCACTTCTCCACTCATAAATGTCTCGATCAAACAAATCTGAGCCTAAGACTTTAATTGCTAAAGGAAGGCCACCAGCATATTTTAGTGCATCATATGTTAACTGTTCATAATCATTCAAAATATCATCGGATTTGAAAGCTTTTCTGCAAAATAATTGAAGAGCTTTATTTGTATTTAGTAATTGAACATTGTGAACTTTATCCACTCCATAATTTCTCAAGATATGACTATTTCTAGAGATTATGAGGATCCTACTCCCTGCACCTAGATATTTAGGATGCAAAGCCAATTTCTCTAATTGTTCAACTTGATCAACATTATCAAGAAAAATAAGTGACTTTAAGTGACATAACCTAGTTCTCACCAACATGGTTCCTTGGAAAATATTGTTTATCTCTATATTTCCTTGGTTTAGAACTTGACAAAGAAGTTTTTTTTGCACACCCGTCGGTCCAAAATTCTCATAAATCTTGTTTATATCATCTATGAAACAACAAGCATCAAATTGGGGAGAAATTTTATTAAGCAAAGCAGTTGCGAGTGTTGTCTTTCCTATACCACCCATCCCACAAATTCCTATAACTCGAGCAACTTCATCTACATCAAGATCTAGAAGTTCTTCCAATTGTTTCACACGAAAATCCATATCAACTAAATCATCTTCAAAACTCAAAATTTGATTATGACCCAATAAATTTATTACCTCCTCAACAATTTTTTCAATTTCTTCATGTTGTGGCCTGAAAACAAAAGTAGAGCAAAAACACCAAAGTTTTTCTAAGGGCTAAGACTTTCAAAAATAAAATTGTATATATAATACAAAAGTATGGCCAAATACTTACTTATTTTGTACATCCCACCCACAACGATTTGTAATTGTTTTTAGAGCTTCCCTCCATATTTGTACCATTTCCAAGTCATCTTTAAACCTTTCTTCATGTTTAGCAAAAGCTTCTCCGAACTTTCCACTTTGTTTTCGAACTTCGGAAGGAGTGACATCATAGAAAACAGGGAGAACACTTCGAGCGGTTTCTTGAACCCAATCAACGATCTTTTGGAGCTCTTTCATGCACCATGTGGATGATGCATAGTCCTTTGAGAAGACAACAATGAAAACACGTGATCCTTCGATTGCCTGTAAGAGCTCAGGTTCCAAGAGTTCCCCTTTCTTGATTTTTTGGTCATCTTTGAAGGCAACAATACCTTTCCTCTCAAGAGCTGCAAAAAGGTGACCAGTGAAATTATTTCGGGTATCCGTTCCTCTAAAGCTCACAAACACATCAAAATTCTTTGTTTGTGATGAAGAACTTCTTTGGTTTCTAATGCAAGCCATTGGAGAAGGTGAAAACTGAAAACTGAAAACTCACTTGCTGAAAATAATGTGGAATGTTATTAATAGTACTGTCAATGTGTGTTTTCATTTGTCAAGAATCATATTCCTGATTATGTATACAAAAAATATTTTCTTAAGAAATGAAAAATTCATTTTAATCATTTCTAGTTTTCTACGTCTTATAAAGAATTACTTCCAATTACATATCAAGTCATATTCTTAGTGGACAAGAAAAGGCATTAAATTAGTTTAGTATTATTATATTCGATTGAGAGGGTAAATATAAGTGAGAAAATAGTTGAGAAATTATTGAATAAAAATAAATGTAAAATAGAATGAAATTAAATATATATTTTATTTAAGAAAATTATAAAAGAAATAAAAATAATCATTTTTAATAATTTTTATTATCACACAATAAACACATCATAATCAATTATATTATTTTAATCAATTTTACTCTTTGTGGTAATTTTAAAACCCTTATATTCTCTTAAAAAAAAAAGAAATAAATTGTAATGCTTTAGGAATTGCTGGAAAAAAAAAACCATAAAATAGTTTTTTTTTCTATAAACATAGTCTATTTAATGTAACGACCAGACATGTTTCTATACTTATTATGATTCAACTACAACGTAGTCGAAAATATAAACATACTCTAGCCTAGCATTAACATAAAACAAGTTTCTAAATATTCATACAACAATATATATATAAGGAAATAGACAACTGAAAGCATAAGACCCCCTTCTAAGATTATAACTAAATCTTGCACATACAGACGCACACACAAATATTAGACTACAAAACATGCAAATCTCAGGTTGTTGGTTAAGCAACAACTATACATGTTGTGTCAGAATAACCACCACCAAAAACACTGCCATCTCCAACATGGCACCTCAACTTGTTTGCTATCTAACCTAATTTTTCCCTGCTCCAATAATAAAATGATCATGCAGTTTCAATAATAAGAAAAGGCAAGAGTAGGCTCGTAATCATTAAATTAACTTAATATAGAAGCAATAAACTAGCTATAGAAATAATTTCATCAACAAAACACAACAACAATCTAAGGCATAGTTTAGCAACACAAATCAAACATATCAACAAAACTTAACAACTTTTCAACTTACAACATAATTGTATAGTTCATCATAATATCACCTTAGTATATGGACAAGACAACATATGTGTCGTCACACATTTTAATTAAAAAATATCTTACAACATGTATACATATATATATATATATATATATATATCAAGATCGGAATAGGAGCGGGACAAAAAAACCCAAACCCCGTCAAAGGCTGAGATGGATATCTGAATTTTATTCCCAATGTATTTCA